AGTCAGCGCGTGGGCTCGAGAGGTGAATGTTTTGAAGATAGAGCTAGAAGTTTGAAAAAGATAAACACGCTGGGAAATGGATTCTATCGTAGCCCACATACTTCTAAGCGATTGTATGGAGTCACAATTGCTGCACAGTCAGCTGTCCTTCCTGGAAGTGCGTGGCTTGACAGTTTATGATGTGTGCAGGTGGCTACCCCCATGACCAGGGAGTGAGCATGTCTACCACACAAAGGGTCCCCAGGCCTCCTGTCATCTCTCCTCAAGCAGCCACCGATCAGCTGTGTCTCTCCAGATTGGTTTGCATTTTCTAGAGTTGTATGTGTGTATATGTTTTACATATGTACGAATATGGGATCGTATTATATGCAATGGAGGGGACGTCACATATCATAAAAGGCACCAAGGTGTACAATTCAGTGGTATTTGGTTATTCACAGTCTTGTGCCACCACCTCTTCCATCTGTTTGCAGAACATTCCATCCCCTCAAAAGGAGACTGCATCCCATCAGCAGTCCCTCCCTGTCTCCTCCCCTAGCCCCTGACAGCCACGAATCTGCTTCCTATCTCTGGGTTTGCCTGTTCTGGATGTTTCTACCAATGGAGTTGTGCATGACATGGCCTGCTGTGCCTGGTGTCTCTCAGTCAGCACCATGTGTCTGAGGTTTGTTCACGCTGTGGCCTGTGTCAGTGCCTCCCTCCTTTCCATGGCTGAGTGTCCTCCACATGGGGTGGGACTATGCTGTGTTTGTCCTTCACCTGTGGGTGGACGTTTGGGTTGTTTTCACCTTTTTTTTTTTTTTTTGAGTTGGAGTCTCACTCTGTTGCCCAGACCGGAGTGCAGTGGCCGCTCCCGGCCACCGCAGCCTCGACCTGCTGGGCTCCGGCGATCCTTCCGCCTCAGCCTTCCGAGTAGCTGGAATTACAGGCGCGCGCTACCACGCCCGGCTGATTTTTGATTTATTGTAGAGATGAGGTCTCGCCGCCCAGGCGGGTCTCGAGCCCGCGGGCTCAGGCAATCCACTCACCTCAGCCTCCCAAAGGCGCGGGATTACAGGCTGAGCCACCGAGCCCGGCTGTTTTCACCTTTTAACTATTGCGAACAGCCTTGCTTTGAACATTGGTGTACACAGATTTGAATTTCCCTTTTCCATTCTTTGAGGTCTAGACCCAGGGGTGGATTCACTCGGTCTAGGTGTACTTTTGAGTCTGGTTTCTTTCGCTCCGAACGGTGAACAGTTTGTTCCACGTCACTGCAAACATCAGAGGCTGGTTCCTTCTCACTGCAGAACCCTGTTTCGTTGTGTGACCAGTTTGCTCACCCACCACTGGCTGATGGACATGTGGGTTGCTTCCGGTTCGGGCTCGTAGTCATGATGCCGTTGTGATGCGCATGTGCAAGCCTCGGTGGATACCTGCATCTCTTCTCTTGGGCAGCTCCAGAGGGCGGAGTTGCTGGGTCCTGTGCTATATATTCATTGTTTACAGACACTGCAGAGTGAGTGAGCCTTCTTATTTCATATAGTTCTTTTTTCTTTTTTTTTTATAGAGACAAGGTCTCACTTTGTCACCCAGACTGGAGCGCAGTGGTATGATCAAACTCACTTCAGTTTCAGTCTCCAGCACTCAAGCAGTCCTCCCACCTCAGCCTCCCAGGTAGCTAGGACTACCAGCACCACCACACCCACCTCACTTTTTAATTTTTTGTGGAGACAAGATTTCACTATTTTGTCAAGACTGGTCTCGAACCCCTGGCCTCAAACACTCCTCCTGCCTCAGCTCCCAAGTAGCTAGGACCTCATTTCATGTAGTTTTCTGAAGAGTGACGGGACTCTTTAAATCCAGAGCTTAGCAAAGTGTGTGTTCATCAATCTAATTCCATGTGAACGAGTTGATCCCAAGGAAATTCTCAGACATGCTCAGATAGATGGATGACCCAGGATAGTCATTGAATGGTAACAAGAAACTGGAAACCACATGCCCAGTGGTGGCAAAACAGTCAACATACCTCATGGTTGCAATGGGTTCAGTGGAGTCCTGGGAAGCCGTTGATAACCACATGGTCAAAGCTTATCCCAGGCTGGTGTAGTGGCTCATGCCTGTAATCCTAGCACTTTAGTGACTGAGGCGGGAGGATTGCATGAGCCCAGGAGTTTCGAGACCAGTCTGGGCAGCAGAGCAAGACCCGGTCTCTACAAAAAATCAAAAAATCGACCGGGCATAGTGGTGCCTGTAGTCTCAGCTACGTGGGAGGCTGGGGGGGAGATCAGATGAGCCCAAGAGGTTGAGGCTGCAGTGAGCTGTGATTGCATCATCACACTCCAGCCTGGGCAACAGAGTGAGACTCTGACTTAAATAAATAAAAAGTAATAATAAAAATAAAAGCTTATCCCATAACCATAGACACACTTCCATGTACCAACACGTCAAGGAGAAAATTAGGATCAACAAGGAAGTACATAAGACTATCCAAATTCTCTTAAACTCTATGAGCATGCATCTCTTCACCTGAGAGGAAATGTACTACTACAGTTACTTTATAACATGGGGAAAGTCTTACAGATTGAATATTGTGTCTCCCCAGCCCTCCTGTCTGTCTACCCCACCCCCACACGAGCTACTACAGCAGCCTCCTCAGGTATCAGTTCTTCAGCACCCCCCATCTTCCTAGCATATATGTGGGACCTGTTGACCCAGAGCCTGAATTATCTCAGCCCCTGGTGGCCCCAGCCCTCAGGGTCCCGGTGCTGAGTCACGCTTCCGTTCAGAGCTGAGGTCAGCAAGCTTTTTCTGTAAAGGGTTGCATGGCAAATCTTTTAGCATTTTCAGACTATACAGTTACAGTCTCTGCCTTGACTGTTCCACACTGCTGTTGCAGCAAAAGCAGCCGCAGACGTGGTGTACGTTAATGGGCAGAGCTGCCTTCCTTCCCGTACAGCTGAGTAAAAACAGCCAGTGGACCTGTCACACCCTCCTCCTTCCTTGTGCCTGCCTGGTGAGTGAACTCCTCTTCATCCCACAGAACCTCTCTGAGATGCTGCCTCTCCTAAAACCATCTCTGACCCTTTAGGGTCGTCACCACAGTGTGTGTGGTCTAACTGCAGCACGTGACATGCTGGCACGTTCGTTTGCACCCCAGCCTCTCCTGCTGGGCCTGGAGCCACGGTCTGCCTCGTCTTTGCACCTTCTGCTGTCCTCAGTTGACCCAGGTGGCATTTGTGCTCCTTGCTCTGAGGTGTCCCATGGGCTGTCACCAGCAGCAGGTGCATTTTTGTTTTCCTACACCTTCAGAAGTAAATGCATTTTGTAAAAATAAGCTTTTCCTGGTGGAATAACGTGTGACTTATAGGAAAGCAGCAGAGAACACAGAGGGTCCCCTGCACTCTCACTCAGTTCCCCTGGTACGAGTCATCCGGGCACATTTGTCATGACTAAGAAATTGGCGTCAATATGGTGCCATTAACCAATGCCCTGCCATTCCTTGATGTCACAAGGTCTTTGCTCACATGCTCTCTTTGGTCGAGGAGCCCACCAGGGTGTCCACTGCACTGAGAGTGTCCAGCCTTTGCCAGCTGCCCATGCCCATGCCCATGGCAGTCTTTGGAAGACGGGCTGGTTGTCCTCAGGATGCCCTGGCCTGGGCCTGATGGTGTTCACCCAGGCTGGAGCTGTGGCTTCTAGAAGCAGATACACCCCAAGGTGTGCTCTCGGGTGCTTTGGGGGCTCCTCCCTGTGTCGTCCTCCTCCCTTGGGTTTCGGGGATCCAGGGAGTCTGGGTTCGAGGCAGATTCCATCCTGCTCCTCCCACAAGCCTCTCGTACACCAGTGTGTGGTGGAGGCCTGTGGGGCTGAGTCTTTATCCACGTGGGGAGATTTTGCCAGAGGCGAAGGGCTAGGAAGGCTGTGGGCTGGAAGGACTCAGCAGAGAGAGAGGGGGTCATGCCTGCTGGACTTTGGGGTTGAGAGGCCACCTCGGGGCAGGGGGCTGGGGACTGGGGTGGAGCAGACTTGAGATCAGGTCACAGGGGATGTCTGATCATGTCACTTGTAAGAGCCATACTCTTTGGGTCAGAAGTCACTTTTAAAAAATTTTTATTCTTTAGAGACAGGGTCTCGTTACGTCACCCGGGCTGCAGTGCAATGGCGTAATCATAGCTCATTGCAGCCTCCAACTCCTGGCCTCACACGATCCTTCCACATCAGCTTCCCAAGTAGCTGGGGCTACAGGTGCCACCATACCTGGCTCATTTAAAAAAAAAAAAAAAATTTTTTTTGTGCAGATGGGGTCTTGCTATGTTGTCCAGGCTGGTCTCAAACTCCTGGCCTAAAGTGCTCCTCCCACCTCAGTCTCCTGAGGAGTTGGGATCATTGGCACAGGCCACCATCCCTGGCTTTTTTTTTTTT